CCCCCCGCCTTTTACATCACCTAGGAGCCAAAAATTAATTTCAGGCTGGGGAAAAAAGTTTAAGTTTGTAATTAAGAATTCTAACATTTTTAAACAGGTTTCAAATTGAGAATCCCAACATTTAAGACTATCTAGATGAAATAGTTCTTTCTGTGACCAAAGCTATATGCAATTTTACAGACTTTTGCAAATTATTAAACTGAACCTCTATTTTTCAGCAATGAAAGTTAGCTGTAACTCAAATTCAATTTTTTGGGTAAGCCATCCAAGAAATGAAATGAAACGAAACAGAGAACTTCTATCCCCATAGGAAAAGCAGCTTCTCCAGTCATACTTTTGCCTTTACAGATGAAAGTGGTAAAAGGAAAAAAGAGGGGGGACACACACGACACGACACCCAGGAGGCAACCCATGTATCTACTAAGGTTTAATACACATCATGAAAGGTGAAAAAACATCATAAGACTTTTTTTAAATAAAGCCAAAATCATTTTTTTGACAAGCAACATTTGGAAGAAATTTTATGTAGAAGCTATGTGCTGAAGATGCAGAACGATACAAACAGCAAATAAGAAAACTTTTCAGGTGCAAAGACTATTTGAAATATACATAAAAACAACAACTCAGTAAGCTAAGAACTACTGGCACAACGAATAAATTCCTGCTCTGAAAAAAAAAAAAAATTTTTAAAGTTATTTGCCTCTTGTATAGGAAACGGGTTAAAGACTAGTATTTACTTTTCCTGAAAAAAATAAATGTACAGAGAACCTGGAGCAGCTTAACAGTTTCTCAAGATGACTCAGAGTAGAAAAAGTTAAATCATTATTACTAGCTCCATGTGAAAGGCTGATGAACAGCTCAGCATAACGGAAAGTAATCATCATGACTGCATTCAACTTTTCTGAAGTGCGAGTACATTCACTGTGTAAGACAAATGGATGACATGAGCCATGATACCTTGCATTTGCTGTTCTTAAGTGTAATAATCAAGATGAAATTGAATCTACTGAATACTCAGTAATTCAAAACTACATCATTCAGTGCAGGAAATATACCCTCAACCTAACCCAATCAAGATACAAGAAATATCAGTATAAACCACCTTATTCCTCTGACCTGACCAATCAAATCTACATTCCGTCAGGGATATCTTAACATTACTGAATGACTTGTCTTCTCCAATGCAGAGATTCTAATTTGTATTCATCTGCATGAGCAAAAAACTCATTCGACTCTATTAGGAAAAAAGTACTGAATTTTTTTTTTTATTTATAACTTTTCATGTTCCCAGTGTTATATGCTTTTTTAATGCTTTTTATCTTAAAATGCAATTAACTGTCTTTATCTGTAATATTTTAATAAAAATAATTTCAGAATTCTGCTACATATAGTATTACCAGCTGTCCTAAAAGGAAGCAAAAACCTACACTTTTTACTAGAATATTTTAGTTATCCTCTCCCAAGTTGAATTGAAACTTGCAGTCTACAAGTGCTGCAACGAGCAGCACAAGCTATAGACACTTTAAAATTGCATCGAAATGCCAAACATTGCTGCAGATAACTTATCAGCAGCCCTAGTCCTCAGCAAATAAAAGTTATAATAGATTCACGCCGCCAAGTTCACACTACTGCACATGACTAATTTGGGACACTACAAAACAGAGTAATTCAAACAACTTCACCAAAGCAAAGGTAAATTTCTGTTATGCTAAGTCTTTGCATCACCATCCCGCTCAATCCCTTAAAAGCAGTACTGAATCTAAAAGACCCCCTTGTTCTAAAAATTAATTGCATGAACTATGACTATTTCATCTGAAACCTTATATATTCTTACCTAATGAATTCTACCAATTTAGAGTTCTCTTCCTGATAAAACTGAAATTCCTTTTAAGAAAGAGCCTCTAAACCTGCATGTCCTACCTAATTATGCAGCTATTCATCTTAGCGTGAACTAAATGTCTCAGTAACTTCCATCTTAATGTGAACTAAACGTCCCAGTAACTTCATGTGTTTGCAGGACTATGGATCCAGGAATCAGTATGCAGGAGTATGGATAAAAGAAACAAATTCTATTATAATTATTCTTACCTTTACAAGGAAAAGTAGTTAATCACCTTAAAACGTGTGGAAAACAGAGTATACAGCTACTGCCTCTCCTAAAACTACTCTGACTACTGCTCTTCTACAGCATAGTGGAAACCAAACATTCATTCTACTTTTCCATATAATTACGATCAAAATATCTACATATAAATTCTTTTCTATGTCAGAAGAAAGAGATGAGATCTCAGCTATTTCAGAGAAGTAGATAAATTATTTCTAAAGTACACTTACTATTTCCTATGTCCCAAGCCTACCCGAGGACAGTACCTTCATCCTGCATTACACACAAGGCTACTCCTTTGGAACAATGCAGAACTTTGAAAAACCAAGGAAAAAAAAGCAACCAAACATGCTTGAAGATTATTCCAAGCTTCAGTGGGAGAATCCAAAGAGGCAGCAATATGAGATGGATACCTTAAAGGGCCAACTGTTGTTATTATATTGTTAAACTGTGGCACCTAGGCAAAGATGCTTGTAGTTCTACTGTTACACTGATGATTGTACATTTTTCAGTACCTAAAAGTATTTTAGGATCATGACAAATCAGTGGATAAACCAAAGCTGTCTCAGTGATAAACTTCCTTATGTATATGGCTGGCAAAACCAACCTGAATTCTCCATTCAATAAGTAGAAGACCTTGTTATTAATACCCATAGTGACAAAATGCATCAAAAATACAGCTTCAAATTTACTTAAACTGGTATCAGAGTCTGAAGGCTTCAAAGCTAAAGTAAAAAAACTAATTAAACATTGCTTATTATTTTTTGAACTTCTAAATTACTTTTTAAAAAGCATTTTTTAAAACATGAACTTTAATTTAGATATTCAAAGGCATAACATAATTTAGTGACAGCTCATTTGCCGCACTGTAAGTCCTTCCCCATTTAAATCCTATATCGTATCGCTAGCAATATACTCACATGTCCTCTGGTGTCCAATGAAGCAAGAGCTTTATTTTTCCAGAATCTTCTTTTCTTTTAGCTATTACCTGATAATAATTACATAAATCATAATTAAAACCACATCTGCAGATTTTTTTTCTCAAAAACTGTTGTTGTTCACATTCAACTGGACATTCATAAAAGGCAAACTGTTTTACTCTTTGAAAGTTGTATTAATTCTGTATATAGGTAGAATGTATATATCACTACTCAAGCCATTCTTGGCAAGGTTTAATACTTTCGTGTAACATTTGTCTACTGAGTGGTCCCCCGGGACCCCCCGGGGTGGGGGAGAGAACATCCTGTAAGTAGTCTTCTTTGTTTTAAAATAGCTCAAATTTTTCAGCAGCTATTCCAAAAGCTTTGAAGAACATACATTCCTTTACAAATATGCTCATGTTGTTCCACAAGACGTCTATAGAGGATGCAAGAAACTGATGCAGCTTATAGTTTAATTACAGCATGGCATAAGAACAAAATCTTCTCTCACAAATGCTTTGATATCTGGACACATCGTATGTATAACTTCCTAGGTAACCTTTACTCATTCCTTTCCAACACCTAAACCAAGCACTGAATGAGGCAATGGCAAAGGCTACCTGCAAGAACTCACAGACTTACAGAGGTTTAATGCATACATAAACGGGGACACTTGTAAAGGGTACACTTGCTACTATTGTTATATGAATGACAAATCAAATGACATCTCAAAGACCTGTCGACAATTGATCAAATTTAAGCAGAACATATGCACTCTACTGGTAAGGTCCCAGACAAGAAGTGAGAACTTTCTCATAGTTTCTCATACTAGCTCAAAGTAGACCAGCACATAAGATACTCTCACAGAGAATAAAATTTTTAGGTGCAGGACCCTGAAGCTAGACTCCCATCTTTAGCCAAGACAAAGTTAGAAATACACACATAGGAAGTATAAAAAAAGAAATCTGTTCATTCAGGTACAAATATATTCTTTAACACCAGCATTCAGAAGGTATCCCAAAAATTTACACTATCCAGAAAACCGGGAAAAGCCGTTTGCTTCCTCTTCTACTGATTTACCCTCAGCTTCTCCTTTACTACACATCACAATACTTCATACAGATTTTCCTATTTGCTTCCAACACCAATTCTCCCACCTTCTGCACCTCTGAGCATAAAATGCTTATTAAATCTTTGAAAGATTCTACACATAGTCAATGCAGATACTGTAAACTCCAAAAACTTTATTAGAGAACCTTTAAAGCACAGAAATACAGAAGGGTGGTAATGATCTTTATGAAAATGGCTTAACTAAAGTGTAGCATACGGATCTTAAATACTGAAGTCCATAATCTGCATCAACCAAAGCAATTTCCCACAACTGAATGCCATGGTAAATTAAACTTAGTCATGACATTTCAAGGAATTCACAAATTTGTTTAAAGTTTTATTTTTACAACTATGCAGTAATCTTCTGAACAAAAATGATGCAGAGAGAAGTGTTCATGTTTTGCCCGTGACTGTAATTGGTGAGTGATCTCTCCCTGTCCTTATCTCAACCCACGAGCCTTTCTTTGTATTCTCTCTCCCCTCTCCAGCTGAGGAGGAGAGTGATAGCAGAGCTTGGTGGGCACCTGGTGTCCAGCCAACGTCAAGCCATCACAGTGTCTGACATACTGAATTTCTAAAAAATATTGAAGTCTCAGGTTTTAAAACAAGTTGTCATGAGACATGGAAAAGGCCATCTGATAGCCTAAGGCTAGAGAAGCAATAAACGAAGTACGGTAATGCACAGTTCTTCCAAAAGGAGGAGGTTCCCATTAGTTAGCCCCAGTTTTAGGTTCTCTCATTTAATATATATTCACAATTCATCTGGAAATGGGATTGGAAGGCAGAGTGAGAAAATCTGCTTTTGATATCAGGCAATTCAAGATAAAGTGAAGGAATGCTCCCTGCAAGAACTGCAGTAGGATATCATAGTGGGATACGGTAGATAAATGACAGTAAAAATCCTTTTTCTAGTAATCTTTGCCAATTCGACAAAGTTTAATTGACTCTTGTATCAAAGAATACTGTAAGGTTCTTTAATTTAGGCATGCAAAACACTGCTAAGACTTTTCCTCATAAGTCTCAAGCCACACCCACAACAGGATACATCCTTTTGCTAAATTTGCAGCAGACGAAAAGCCTGACTTCTTTTTAAATAAAGATTAGAAAGCACTCCTCCAATCCCTTCCAACTTTAAGTTTTAGCCTTTGTCCAGAACCCAGCTGCTTCTTCAGCAAACTCAGTTTCTTTGCTGTAGACTGGAGCACCTGAGCCTGGAACCAAATAAAGGTAAGTCAAAGCTCACTTTACAGGGCAAATAAAATTCAGTTCTCATCAGCTTTCCTGTTCAAAACCATACGTTTTCTTGTACAGTCCAGTTCATTCTCAAATTAACCTTCAAGTTTTAAGGAGACACATATGTTCTCTCATGTAATGCAAGCATCATGGATAACACATACTGAAAAGTTTACAGGTTAGAATTTTTAAATGTTAGCATTTGGACACAACATTAGCTACACCCGAGTTCGAAGGAAGAAGTTATTCTCCACAAACTGCTCTTCATCCTATCTAAAACTTGAAGAATATGAACTAGGAAACCATACAGAATACACAAGTCACAGATGGATATTACATCTAAATACCAGTTAAAGCTGTGGTTGTTGTCCCTCTATAAAATGATCAATAGCACTGCTTCTACGGGGTTTTACAGTATAATACATATGGAATCACCATTCCAGAACCACACAGAAGTCTGCGAGAACCACCCAATATCATCACCTGCATTCTCCAACAGGAAAAAAAAAGTACAGAGACTCTGACATTAACAATTTCTCATTTTCAGGAATACGCAGTACAAAATTTAGGACACTGCTGTCTTACCATCACCACAGAGAGGTATCTGTAAAAACTCAAAAAATGAAACACTGATGTATAAAAGAGATTCAGGGTACAAAATTTAGGGTGATTCAAATATTGCCCGAATTATACCACTACAAGTAACATTCTCTTATTCTACAGCCCTAGGAACATCTTCAAGCCATCAGTGCTACACTAAGAGCTTGAACCAGCTTTCACACACACACAGAAGTTTAACAGGAAGAAAAAGTAACTTTTAGCAGTAGAAAATTAAAAAAATAATTGTTTATAATAAAAGAGCTAATCATATATAATACACGAAAGCTATGAAAGTTATAGCTAGGTTGCTTTCGCACAGAGAGATATACTTGTATCCGATGTGAATTTTGCAGACTTTTTCCCCATATCATTGGCTTATCTTATCCCTACTAAATAATCAATACTCAAAATCTGAGCAATTCACTTGTTTTTGACTGGGATGAAAGATCCTCTCTCCACATACAGAACAAGCCTATTTTTGTTTAATATTAAAGTAGTACGTTAGCTTTCTGTTAGGAGACAACAGAAATCTGGCATCTATAGCTGCCATTGCTTCTTCCCACATGTATTCTGAAATTGTCAAATTTAAGGAAGTTTTTATAAAAGGTATAAAAAGTATCCACTTTTACCACAATTAGTGCAATGAGAATTTTACCATATCCTAGGCAGGCTAGAGTCAGAAACACAGCTATAATGCAGTCAAATGCAAAATTGCAAAAATTTTGCAAAAAAAAAAAAAAAATTTAAAAAATTATTTGCTACTTTGACACTAGTAATCAGTAGTCAAGTCTTCAAAAGTTACAATTGAAATGGAAGAAATCTAGCATGTCTGCAATAATGATGCTCTGAAGACTTAAAATTGTTTTGTAAAGAACTTAAGTCCATTTAAGTTTTCCATTTAAAAATATAATTCAGCCAGTAGATGTATGGTCAATACAGCTTTATTTGAAAAAACTCTTATTATATTCTCTAAATTTCATGCACTGTCCCAGAAACAAAAGGGAAATTTAATTTGTATTTATCTCTCTGAAGGAAACATGCATCAAAGTTGTCTCAAAACAGAAATGGAGCTCTGCTGACCTCTTCTGGAAAAAGAAAAAAATTTCACCCTATAAATTGGTATGCATTTTACTTTATTCACTTACTGTGTTTCAAAGTTTTAAGATTTCAAAACACATGTAACTAGTATCAATATATGTGATTGCTGAACTGATACATCTAAAAAAGCTAAAACCAGTGAAAAACAGTTTAGTATTCAAACATTTTAGAGAATTAATTCTAGCCATTTCAAAAAGCTGGGGGCGTGGGGCATGGAGGACAGGGTAACCTATAAGCTACATTTTTTAATCAGTATAATATCTGGTCTTCAGGTTAAATGGAAATGCTTGACTTTTTCCATCTGACAATTCAGAGAATCACAGTACCAAGAATTTGACTCCCATAAAAAAAACTAAGCAGAAAAAAAAATTCATAGTGAAGTCAAAGGTGAACTCTGGATGGCAAAACCATTTATTCAAAAAGACTTCATTGATGACTGCATTCTACAGCTTTCCATATGTATAAAGAAAAAGATGAGTTTAAAAAAAAAAAAATAAAAGGAGTGCCTTTTCATATGAGATGAAAGGTATCTACAGTGACTGCTTAGAAATTCTTCACATCAGTAATTTTTCACTAGGATATCCATCCTGTAAAATACTGTGTTGTGCTGCCATTACTCTTATGCTGCATAAAAAAAATAAACCCACATCATTTATGTCAGTTTTCAGACAGCAAGACAGTTTTATCTTCATGTTTTTCACCTTTCAAATTAATGCCTCTGATAATTACACATTTTTTCTTCATCTGAAGGTGAACCACACAAACTGTATTATGCTATTTAGCCAGTCACCATTCAAATTCAATGTCCCAATGCTTATAAGTTATGCGAAATGTGTTTGCATCTGAGGTGACCATTAGCTTAGTTAACAGTGTACGTCCACAAGACTGCTTCTATTCTACCTTTTCTTTTCAAAGCAGATTTTAGGCTGCGTCTTATCAATATAGCTGATGTCCAGCACAAGCCCACAAAAGCGTAGCAGCACACTAAAACAGGGTAGCAAAGTGCAGCATAGAGCTGGAACCTGAGAACAGTTCTGCTGCTGGTACAACCTCTCCCACAACTGAGGTATAACCAATTGCAGATCTAATCAACAACCTACCATCTCGAGTGACACATGCATGGATAAGCTAAAAGGATTTTCACCACTTCCTCCAAGTTAATTCGAAGCAGTTTTAGAGCACATTCCTCCCTCTAATTCCATCTCCTTATGAATTATTCCAATAGCCAGAGATGAGCTTCCACAACTGAGTAGTCTGTCTGGATAACGTTTCAGATTAAAGCAAGCTGTGAATTGGAAGAGAATCTGCTTTTCTCACAGCATTGTAAAATCCATCTCGGCCAGGAAAACTAGAATGAGATTTAAATACAGTAACAGCTAAGCCACCTGCAAATCTCCACTTGCAGCTGGTGCTCAATGCACATAAAGTTCAGGAGTAATCATTTGGGAAAAATTTCTAATACAGGCCACATATTTATAACAATCATCAGTCTTGTAGAACAGAATGAAATAAGTTTCATGCATATAAAATCATCTTTAATTTATGGAAAGAGACTGACGGTTCAATAGTTTGAATCATGTGTTAAGGTTAAGCCATAGCTGAAGACACAGCAGTCAGCATTCCTTCCTTGGACTGCAGTTCATCTTGCACAGGTCTGCCAATTTACAAAGCACCCCCCTCATTTCGTCCTATCTCTTAATTCTTTTCTTCAGCTGAGTCTCTACCATATCTTCCAACTGGGTTAAGAAAACCTGAGGTTATATAGCTTTTTGAACTTCTGATCCCTATACCCCAATTCAGTACTTTTTTCCCCATTTTGAACTTTTCTAAATTAATACTGATGTCTATCCTATCCACAAACAAGTGAAATTAACGAAATAGGATATGGAAACAGGACTAAAGGCCAGTTCCCCACCCGGCACTTGCCTCCTTCTAGGAATTCACTGACATTTTGGTGGCAAGTTTATTAACTTATTAAAAGAAAAAGAAAAAAGGGGGATAACAATACATTTATTCAGGATTATATTTTTTAAACTGAAAAAAAGGAATAAAAATAAATTTCAGATCAGCATCTTTAAATATTCAATTATACAATTACCCTCAAAATATTCCGTGTGATAAATTAGTACTGTCACTCACTACTATGGAAATGCCATCTGAATTGCATCCTTATTTAGAAGATACAACCAAATTTTTCTGCAACACATACTTGCTGTTAGATATTTCCCTAAGTGTATCAGACAGGAATTGTTGCAAGCTATTCAATTTGTGAGCTACAACAACTACTAACACTACTTTTAAAAAGTTTATTTATTAATAGAAATGGACAAATCAACAATGTTTACTATTACTTATTTCTGACTAAATGCCTACAGTAGTAAGAGGAAAACAGAAATCTTCTGAAGTATTAGATTTTTCAGACACATAGGTAAACAGACAGACTGCATGATATATATACTTACAGTACTATGAAATACAACACTGTGGCCTTTTCCTAAACTTTCTATATGTGCTGAGAGGTTAAAGCAGATGGCTCGATGTCTTATAGCATCCAGTGTTTGCGCATCAAAGAAGTCATGAGGTCTTGCTAGAAAAGGAAAAGAGATCCTTAGTGTTCAGCACATTGAAAGCATTCAAACACATTCAAGCATGTAAGTAAGTCTGAAGTGTCATTAGTAGATCATTTATCATTATGGCAGTAGCACTACCTTGTCAAAGAGTTGTAAACATTAGAGTGACTCCAAGAGGGGCACAATCCATTTAAGTTTGGTCAAAACATACTCCTTGTAGATGAAACAGCTATTGACAAACTGAATTACACTCACTCATTTTTTTAAGTTTCAAGTGAATTCTATTCTTTCCTAATCTTCAAAATTAAGAATTCATTAATTTGGCTGAATACCTCTGCGAACATCCCGTGCTATCATCTCTTAAAAAAAAAAGTCCCAGTACAAAGAAGCTAAGTCCCAGAACTCATTAATAAATGTGAGTTTTAATTTAATGCAAAACCAGCCCAGTTAGGTTGCAATGTTTATGGGAACCTAAATGGCCAAGTCACCTTTACAGCACAGTAAATAGTTCCAATATCACTGCTGTGACTTTTTAAAAAATAGTATTAAAGTACTTCAAAACATGATAGTGCGTACAATCAACATCTTAAAAGCAGAATTATACCCATACCTTATTTCTTAACTTTATTAAAAACAATCTGCTCTAATCTAATTCATAATCACTAAAAAAACCAGCTATTTCAGTGAATACCGGGATGCTGCACAGCGATCAACAATGGCACTGAAACCAAAACTGCTTGGTACTACAGTGAAACACAAAGCAAAGGATTAAGTAAGAATTATTGTGAACATACAGAAAATACTAGCTGGTCAAGAAATTTTTGATCTCTAAGGAGTAATAATGCTGAATAGTCATGTGAAGAACTCCACACTGCTGAACGTGTTTCTTTATATGTAAAATTTGTCATTCCATGTTCTTTGATTATTAGTAAACAGATTATTTTCTAGCCAAGAAGCACCAACTGCATCACATACTACACTTCAATTTATATTGAGTAAAATGCAATTAACATCCTTCTGATATTTTACAACTAGTCTAAAACCAGCATGCATTAATAAAGCCCTTTTCCTTTTAGAAAAGGACTTTTATAGTTAAGCGTTTCTTGAACAGTAAAAAATAATTGAAATCTGATTTGGAGTATACAGAAGGTCTATCAATTCTACACTAAAAGTACTTTAAAAAATAACTGCTACTAGGCACATATTTGCATACCGTTAGAAATACTTCACACAAATTTTTAAAAATATACCATATAGTATAGTAGTAAAATTACATGAGCAAATACAGTATGAAAGTATTCAGATTTTTTAAGCCTTATTTGAGAGCAGTAATTCTCTATATAACACACAAATTAAAACTCAGAGTAGGAGTTGATATTATGTTATCAACTATATATCATCCTGTAATCTGCAAAAACAGTGATTCAAAGTTCTGTTGTCTTCATTTAAAACAACTTCTATATTCCTTTTCACCAAGACTATTTATCCATTATTTCAAAACAAACTACAAATTCCACTTAAAACTAGTATTTGCTACACTCCTGGGACTAACTGTTGTTAAGCATTCATCTGTACATTATGTTCTGTCCTTACTCTATCTCGGCTGGATACTGCCAATTAGGCAATCATTTAACTGAAATGTTTTCTTGCTGTAAGTGGTAATGTACAAGCGCAGTTCATGCTGCAGGTGGTCAGTGATGTAAGCAGATAAATATTTTATAAATAAATATGAAGCAGGAAGGAAGGGAGGGTGGAAAGGAAAAGACAACCCCAAATTTTTGCTTTTGGTTTCATACAGCAAATTTCTTCAGGATTTACCACTGGATATCATTCAACAGATAGAGAAGAAAGGGCACAATTTGTCAAAGGCATATGAATAGTTTTATTTATTGCTTATTGAGTGTTAATGCTGTATCTTCTGTGTATCTTAAATCTATTCCCTCAAAATTATTTTCAGAGTAAGGTGTCTCCCTTCCTGCTTAATACAAGTTCCAAGTACACATCAATTACTTAAGTCAAATAAATTAAAATCTTCATACTAGTAGCCTAATAAATGAAATTCCAAGTCTTATGTAAGTAACATTCTTACTGTAAATTCCATGAACAATAAGTTTCCCTATCTCGCTTGCATTTCTCCAGTGAACTCAATTATCATGCTTGTTAATAACTATAGTGTCATCTTTGCTATTGGAAAAGCAAGTGACAATATTGTAAATATAGTCTTAGGTTCTGCAAAATTCTTTGAGGTAACTTCCGAATAGCCATAGTATGACTTATTTTAGAGATACACACTTTCAATACGTTTGGCTTTATACCTCTAAATGACAGACTACATGGAGCAGTGAATGTGTTTAAGGCTATCCAGAAGAGAAAGCAAGCTACTGACTGTAATCCTGATTTATTCTGCAACATCAAAATTTATATGCCAAATCAGACGGTCTCTATAGCACCACTAATGTAACCATCTATACCGTGTCTATAGTAAAACATGCTTTCATCATAAAAATACTGATTTCCACACTTACAAGAACATATACTGTTTACAGACAGGAAAAAAGAAATGCAAAACAGTTTAAGAACAGCAAGATTTTAAGAAAGAAAGAAAAAAAAAATCAAGTAGCAGTAAGAATTCTCTTTATAGTCTGTTAGAAGATCATGTTCTTGTCACATACAAAGCCACAGTAAAGTCTCCTTTTTTATTTATGCATTAATGTCTCTCAGAAGGGTGTTAACCTTCAGATATAAAACACAGGTCTATATAGAGGAAGCAAATTCATTGATTTGCTCTATTTAAACTGTTAAGAATTTATATACGAGGATGCTTCAATAGCAGCATGTATTAGCAATCGATTGCCAATAAGTATTTAGTAAGCCACTTACACCTTGCAAAAAAAGTCAGGGTCTAATCAAACCATGAGAAGGTATAAATAACATCATGACAACGTTTTTTCAGGAGAAAGATTGTTGTGTGATGCAAAACTGTAATTTTTTCATCAAATGACTATTTGTGAGTGATTTAAACAGATTGTACACTATCAAATAGCATCTTGCTTTACACCCATTTGTCATAACTTCTTGTAACCCAGCTTGCAGGGAACCTGGTGTGTATGTTCAACATCTCTCCTTTTGGACACTTTTAAAATATCTAAATATAAAGCTATGTTCCTAGCTTTATATACTCTAGACTGAAAATATTTAATGCTGTTACTTTGTTACTTTGGCTTCTTAGATAAGGGTACTTGCCCCCTGCCCCTTCTTGTAAAAACAAAATATACAAACTTGTATACTTCATTCTTGAACTAAAACTCAGCTAAGAAACAGAGAGAAGCAAAATTGTATCAGCCCTTTGTCAGGTTCACCTAATCAACAATAATCCACACAGTTTTAAAGAAAAGCTACCACTACTTAGCATTTTCAGAAAATGCCATCAACTTTGGATACATTTCTGGGTCACATACCCTCTGGAGAAATACATTACAGCAGTCAGTTCCCAACTCAGTTGGAGACGATTTTTGCCTTAAGGCAAAACTCTACAGCCAGCATTGCATTTGTCTCAAGAGGCAAGAAGATAAAAAATTGCTTAAGCAGCTGTCATTTTTCTTTCTGTGCAACACTTGATCAAGACAGCAGACTATTGAAGTACCACAGTTTGGTCTTTAACATACCCATAATATTTACTACTTACATTTTTTGCCATAGATTCATTCAAGAATTCTGCAGTAAATTCTTATCACAACTAGAACATCTTAGCAGATAATTTGAAGTTTTAACTACAAAGCTCTGATTTGAAACTTGTAAGTCAATAATGTTCATCAATTACTAATGAAATGCCAACCTGAAAAACTACTTCTGCATATACTGGGGCGAAAATTAAGTTAAAATGCATTAAATCAGTCACCTAACAAAATCAGTATGGAGAAGCAAGCCAAGATGCAACTCAGGAATCTCGGAAGATGAAAATTTTGAAGTGACAAGTCTTAGACATCTATATTTTGTTTGAGTAACACAGGCAAAAATCAAAGTAATCCTTTAGGAGCCTGCAACTATTTCAAGTAAGTCTCTCTTTCATTACATCTAAGATGAACTGAAAGGATACTGCAGAGTGACAACATAACCCTTCATTGATCAGCCTTCCCTTCTTGAACCTTCTTATTTACATAGATTGCTAGAGTGAAAGGGAAACCTCTTTGAAAGTCAAATTCTGAAAAGAACAAAAATAGCTTTCTACCTTCTTTGAATGTTGAATCAGTGTCAAAATTAAAAACACAAACTTAAAGAATTCCTCTAAGATGTGTTTAATGACATAATTTGCACACATATACCAATCATTTAAAAAAAAAAGTGAAAGAAAATAATCACCATAACTAAAGGTAACAGTGGCTCTTCTAGCACTGAACTGCATAGTTGTCACACAGTGTGGAATAAAGACACAGAAAATACACTTTTCAGAATTCGAGATGATACTGCAACTTTCCAGGATAGAATTTTTTGCGTTCAAGGCAGAAACATGACTGCTGCTTCATAAATTTCTGTTACTTAAAACACAGGTGAGGTATTAAGATAAGAATAATCACAATCGTGATACAGAGTAATCACTTAAGACCACTAGTATGTGCATCCATTGTTGCAGTACAGTTTGAATAATTGGTAACTGTGTTTCTTCACAGGAACAGAAAGATCAAGACAGTGAAGTGTTCTGCCACAGAAGAGTTCTGGAAAAATAAGACTATAATTGCTGACCCAGCGAAGTAACACAAGTTCTACGGCACACCATCACTAAAATCCTACCGCCAGCCAGGAGACAGGACTGAAATAATTGCCTGCTTATGAACAGAGCTCCATTTCTGTGGACAGTATGAGATATAACAGGTTCAGTGGTTCATAAAAAAAGTATCTTGGGCTTCTCTCCAATACTGTTAAGGTTGACTTTACACCACAGGTAAAAATTAATGGAAGCTTTTTCATCAGCTGTTGCCATACTAGCAGGAAAAAATCCAAATCGATTTTTTTACATGTCTACTCTAAAATGCAGCTGTCACTGAAACAGTTTAAAATTAGTAAATAATCAATTCAGTACTGGAGATTTGCATCCAAAGTAATTTTAAAACAAAGTTAAATTTTTTAATAATTGCCTAGTCTTTCCTAACCATTTCTGTACATTAGAATCTCTAAATAAATTTGACATGGTTATTAGCCTGATGCTAAGACAATCCAGGAATCAAACAACTGGATCAAACTGGACTAGAAAAGATACTGGGTAAGTGATTATTACTTGCTAGAGGAAACAATTCTCACTTTAAATGATAAATCATACTTCTCAACACATTGGTTCATAGAAATTTAACGAACATCAACTGTGCAGAGAAAGATTAAAAAAAACGAAAAACGTCGCAAGTCAAATCTGCCCCAAATTAGATCTTGGTTATGCTCATAAAACTGTCATTAAGGCTAATGAAATGTTGTGCTCCAAAGAGGGCTTATATAACATGCATTTATCTCTGGTTTATATGAATCTGCAATCTCTGTCTGCCGTACTGAACTTCAGATCTCATCATCACTAAACAGAACATTTTCCAACAGTAATATAGGCAGTAAACAAGAAGCGACTCTAAAATGAAAAGCATCTTTAAATTGTAAACTCAAACTGTTGCTCACAGAAAACCAATCTGTTCTACTGAACACATAGATCCTTTACCCTAAAAAGAAATACAAACAGAATCTGGAATTGTTTTATTCCCATGACAAGGGATGCCAACACTCTAATGCTGAAGATCACGAACCCTACCAGACCCACATCTGCAGAGAAACATCCACATTGAAGAGAAACTTCCTGTCCAAGACAAAACTTTCAAGAACTTCTACTTCTGGAAATACTTACGTAATGATCGTCGTCTCTTGTTCTTTAACTTTCTTCTTTTATTCATTCCAGCTTTAGATGGAGATTCCTCTTTGGCCTTTGGCTGGCTGGCAACTTTTGAAGAGTTCTGCTGGCTGAAGTGTGTGGGCACATGACGGGCAAGTCCTCCCTGAGATGCAAAGCTGGCATTGCACCCACCAACTACACACTAATGAGAAAAAAACAGAACTGTATCAGTGTGCTATATGGCACACATTCACAGGAGTTTGATAGATCTTTCAGTTTGACTTTTCTGGCTCAACCTCCAACACACTAAGAGGAAGACAAATTCTTAATGACCATGCAATTCTTAAAAAGAAAAACAGAAACATAATCTGAAAGAAATTTCTATCTGAACTTTATAACTCTCAATAATTATTTCATGGTATAATCACCTTTTTCTATGCTATATTATATTCTATAATATTGTATAGCATAAAACCAATCTCAAACAATGCACTGAAACTTTTCCCACAGAAAATAAATGCTTCTGAAGAACTTTCCCCTTTGCAGACCAACTTCCCCTTGTCTTTCAAAATACTGCACTGTTATTCTGCATTTCTCAACAGCTCTCCAATCTTCTGCCTTTGATAACAGTAACGTTCTCTAACATCCTCCTTTCTTGTGACAAAGCAGAAGTAAAAAAAGTACATCCTTACCCACATTAAATTTGAAACAGCTTAACGCTTTTTGTAAATGCTATACTAAGTCAATAAATAGTTATCTTACACTTCTGTCTAAAACTTTTAACTTCAGTAACTTAATAATAATTATTTATACATTTGTTTTGGGATGCTACTATTACTTCAGAAGTATTTAAGTAAGTTCTTATTTAAAGAAAATGGCCTCTCTTTCTCAAACAGAAAAATAACAAAAGGTCCAACAGTAATTAAGCAGAAACATAGAAATCACAAGATACACATGCAACTAAGCTAGTACTGGCTGCAATAATTATAGGTATTTTTGTAAGTATTTGGTTTAGATTTACGATTATTTCATTTGCAAAATGAGTATTTAAATTCTACTGTTGGGGAGGGAGGCACAAACCTTTTCTCTTGTGCCCTGAGCTTACAAGGGTAATAGAAAAGTGATTTTAAGATACGCATTCCATCTTTGGCTGCAATTAATTGTATATCCACATGATAATTTTTTCTTCTGATTCAGAGGATAGTAGTAGGGCAAATGAGCTGATCAGCCAGTAGCCAGAAACCACTCTAAACCATTGGAAAGTTCTCCTTCTTCCACATCTGTTCTGCTCCTCCCCCTCTTTCTCAGGTCTTTGATCTGTACATCTCTTCTCTAGCATTTCCCTTCACAGCAAACTGATGAGGCAGCTCCAACAGGAATTCGGGAATAAATAATGCTGCAACTATGCACATAGTGCTAAGTTTTCTCTGAAGACTAAGGATGAATTTGCAAGCTCTTACAGTAATCTGCCCCAAGCCTGCACATTTGATTGAAAGACAAGAAAACAGCAGAACACCACTCAGCCTGTTTTGTCCCTAAAATCCAAATGTGTTGTTTTCCAACTGTGGCTGCAAAATTGAGAAGTCTATTTCTACCTCAGACCTAGCAAATGGTTTTCCATGATCATCACAAAACAATATAGTGTCCATGAAGAGAAAAACCTCTGTTATCTCCAAGGACTTAATACTTGCTATAGGACTAAAAATATGCATATACATTTCAAGACAGTAAAAGACAAAAAATAGGAGGACTTTTTTCACATTTTTATTTGCCTTTTGTGTTTGGGGTTTTTTGGGGGGGGAGGTGGGGTGGGGGCTGGGGAGGAACCACACTTAAAAAACTTTCCCTAACTTTCTCTAAGTACTGAGCTAACTACAAACATGTAATTCCCTGACAAAAAGCTTTAGGATCCTTCACACTGTATTTGTTCCTCCTGTCTCCCCCACTAGTAAGTATCTTAAGAATTGTGAAGATTTCTACCAAAAACCTTCCTACGCCTTTTTACCTTGCCCTATAATTTCCCATGTTCAAACAATAGCAATATTGTATACTTATATTGTAGTGACTTACAATGTAAGAAATCCCAGCACATCTATGAAATTCAAAACACTCAAGAGCCTCATCTCATTTACACTATGTTAACCTCAATGCAATATTTATTACTTCAGATAAATACTGAAGATTAAAATTTACACTTACAGAATCATGGAGTGGTTTCGGTTGGAAGGGACCTTTAAAAATCATGCAGTTCCAACCCCCCTACCGTGGGTGAGGACATCTACTAGATTACGTTGGTCAAAGCCCCATCCAACCTGACCTTGAACCTGACCCACTTAGTTGTATTAAAGATGATCAAACTCACAATCAACAGATAGAGGTAAAATACATGCATGCATTAGTTTGAACAAATCTTTATTCTCCAGTTTTTAAGTCCTTGAAATAGCTGTCTCGTCCATAAAAGCAGTTTCATGAAACTAAACTAAGCAACTAAATCTAAACTGAGATTTAACTTTCATTATGGTGCTCCTGACATCAGCTTCTAGCTCTTTCTGATCCTACAAACACTTACAGGAAAATAAAAAGAGAGAAAAAAAAAAAAAAACATACCCTGAAGTTCAATCACACTGAGAAATTAAAATTTTAGTCTTGCCAATGCCTGCCAGAGGTCAAAAATAATCTAAAGTCTTGGTACAATGCATGCATTACCATATTTCAAGTTTATTAAAGTATAGTATCAAAAGGCAATACCTTTTGAAAATAACACATAAACTTGGTGTCAGGCACATTTCTAAAATTTTTTAAAGCACAAGTTCATAAGACTTAATTGTATTTCTTGTCAGATAGGAAACATCTTTTTATGACAAATTTTAGTTTGACTCACAATGTCATAACTTGACTTTTGTCTAGTCATGTACAAAGAAAACAATCACAGATATCCTATACAGATTATCTACAGAAGCTACCACTTACTTTTCTTGCTCTACCGAAGTTTTACTTTCAAAAGCCCCAAACCAGCATACTTAAATCTTCAATATATGCAACTTGCAACTAGAAATTATCTTTTTCCAGAAAGCCTATTTATAGCCTGAAGCCACGGTATGAAATATTTGCAGGAATCATTACATTCAGATATTGTGTAGTTTGAGACTACCTGATCATGTCATCAAATAATCAACAGCTGATATATCAAAGATGACACAGAATGCCTTTGTAGCAGACAGGAAATAGTAGAAGAGGAGAAAAATCTTACCTGTTTTTTTTTCTTTTTTTTCTCTAAAATAATATATCCAGCAATCCGTTACTAATGGGTAAAGTCTCTTCTCTCCAAAGATAAAGGAGCAGTTCAGGCTGTCACTTCAGGATCTCTGGACGGTAAGTCACACCAAATCAGCTTCCCACCAGATAATTATACAGATCTAGAGGGCTTCTAATAAATCAAACTCAACTATTATGCACAACTTTAAACCAATCTCTTCATTTTTCCCCCAAAACCTAAATCTCAAAATTTTGCATTCAATTTTAAATATGACAGATTGGGTCCGGATTGGTGGATATGTTACTTCAAGAGAAAATAAGTCAACGCGTAATAAGTTTAATTTCTCCAGTGTACCCATACCCACCATTATTAATGGGCAGTAATGAGCAGTGACTTTAACAAACAGGATAAAAGTATCTAGCAATACAGGTTGTTTTTTTCCTATTAAATTCAGAATAACCAAATCTTCTTTTTAGAATATTCAATGTATAATTTTTCCAATAAATCTAACAGTAATATTTTAGACATCTGGATAAATCTTCTTATTGTCTTATAATCTAAGTGTTCAGGCAGAACGCCTTTACATTTTCTAACTGCATCTGCAAAGCTCTAATGATAGAAGATATTCTGCCAAGAAAGTAACAGACATGAATTCCGAATGAGGACTAAAACTGCTTGGCTGTGTTTTCTAGATTTCAACAAGTGTTACTCTACTGAGAATCATATCAAATGCAGTCACCCCTTAATGAATTCTGGAAGTTACAGGTGGTAGAATGAGCACCAAATTTAATTTTTTATTACTACTTTCTTCCCCCCTTTTAAACAAAGGATGAAAGCCTCCAATGAACCTGTGTACTGTCATTCGTTGTTATTGAAAGCATTTACCCCACATGAGCAAACCTTTCATGACTGATCTTAAACATTAAGAGCGTACCCACTAGAATCAGTATGTGAAAGCAGTTGATAGCATACCCACATGCAATCTTATCTTTACAGAAAATTGCTATATGCAATTAGTTTGCATAAAATCTCCCACTCTTTTGTGCTCACTGTACCATTTGTCCTTTCATTGTGCCTAACATCTTGTATTTGATCACCTAGTCTACATTTTAAGAGTTCATTTAATATGTCTTCAAGTAACTTTCAACGCCTTGTACAGCAACAAGGCATGGCAAGTAGTACTTCGATTAATTTGAGTACCAGAAACCATGCTGGAAAATGCAGGTTGTCGCAGCACATTAACTATTCAAATACTTATTATTTGTAACAGCCAAGTTTAGGACAAGAAAGATAAAGTGAATGAAAAAATTCTTTCTCAGCTTGCCAAAGACAGTTAGCGGCATCACTTTTCTAACTCAGCAGATTATTTCTCTAGATCCACCTGTCTACATGTTCTGAAAGCCTGAAAGTTTTTAAGTTGCTGAACCCTCGACAGGACCACCACTACATGTTGATGATACTCCACAACGTTGCACCGGTTTCTAAAAAGCTGCAAAAATTATGTAGTAACAGAACTGAAAAAGAATAATGTTTAGTTTTTTCTCTCTCAACTGCGGATGTAAAATCATACAAACATGAACATACTAAATGTCTTCAGAGAAATAATTACATGCCCTGAGAATACCCATGTTAAATGAATGTCTACAATGAAGATGAAAAAAAAAAGATGAAAGGATGGCTAGAATCAGACTGCAATAAGCAAAGAGAAAACTTCCAGCAGTTTTCCGAGCAGCATAACCTCAAAAATACATAACAGTGGGCCAAAGAAGGCCAGCAAGTTCTCAGCCAGAAACATGTTCTGGAAGACCAGTTTGTTTGTTTGTTCCTCTTGACAAGAAAAACAAATCTAGGAAACAGTGCTTTCCAAAAGTAGGATTGGAAAAGTATGCTGCTTTGCAGAAATAATATTTGACTACACACTGAGAACTAGCTGCAATGAATGGTAACTATGTCTCATTTAATGGACACTCTCTTTGCTGGAGGGATTGGTGGGTGCCCTAAGAAAAGATACTGTCTCAATAACAAAACTTAGTGATGATGAACTCAAAAAAATTCACCCATGTGTTCCACATGAAACCCAAGGCCATTAGTATTAAAAACTTAGAAAAAAGGGGAGGGAATAAACAGAAAAGCAATCTGATGACTAAAGGGGAACTGAGGTCCTAAATTCTGCCCAAAGATCTAGGGTATCATTTTTTTTTTTTCTTCTTAGTTCAGCAGATGACTCAGATATAAAATGTCTCCATCTTATGAACTGGACATACACTACGAGGAAATTGCCCCATATAAAAAGGGAGCTAGCATAACAAAGGTCTCAAAAACAGGTATTCATAAGGAAATTTACCTTTTCTGTGACAGAGGTATTGCAATTTTAATGCTGAGGGGGACACACTAAACCACACAAACAGAAAAGAACAGGAGAAACTTATGAAAATATGAAACATTTTGGCTTTGTAATTTAGAAGTGGGTTCATTTCTGTGACAAATGAACTACACATAGTTTATATGAATGCATGGAAAGGGCAGGTAAACCCACAAAGACCTTTTAATATGAGCACAGCAGCTCATTTACAGCTGAATACAGCTTTTAATCAAAGGACAACACCACATGTATCACAAAAATACAAAATTAAACCCAAAATGGGCAACTACATAAAATGAGTCCACTTGCAAGCAAAAGAGTGACAGGACAGGGACATATCCTTCAACAGAGTAGTTCTAATGCAAAGGAGAGCTTTATGCCCGAGACAGTCCCCAACTGCCTTTCAATTTAAGAAAATACTTTTGTCTCTTATACTACTAGAAGTATAGGAATATAGCAACCTGCCATATATTTATTTCTCTCCTCAGCTCATTAAACGATTATAGCGTTCTTTTACCTTTGCAAAAGTAACTTTTCCATGCTTTTAATTGTCACTTTCCTAGCTAACATTCTTTGCTTTTCCTAAAAACATCCTGAACAGCAGTTCTTCAGACAACAGCATACAGCTATATTATTTCCATTACTGCCTTTTACAGTTTTCCTCAAAAATACTGACATTCATTTACTTTTTTTTTTTTTTAAATAAAACACTGAATGACTATGTATTTTCAGCAAGTTCTCTAAAATTACAGATTCCTTCTTTTATGCTACAACTCAAGTGTATTCTCATGAGGCAACAGAAATTTCATTTGTAATTTAGGTTTTGGGAGATATTTTGTCTGCAGTAATCATCAAGAACAAGAGGTCCTTAATCCAAGTCTGACTTGAAAAAATTTGGCTTTTCCTAAAAGGTGAGCAATTAAGATTTATAAGAACAGCTAAATGCACCAACGGAAACATTCCCTCTGGTTTTGAATGACTGCCGTAAAACAATTAGTAATGGCTGTTCTTGGACCGATCAAGACTAATATCTAACACTTTCTTAAGTGTTTTTGTATCACAGCAGATTTCAAAAGCTTGTAAAAGAAAAGAAGGGAGGAAACGGGGGCTAGTCAATTAATAGGTTGCTATCACAGACACTTACATACTTGGCTACCTCATGTGAGCCCTGAAGCCTATATTCAGCATAAATGACAGGGGAACAAAAGATGTTACAAAATTCTACTCAGACCACAATTATTCTCCATTCAAAGCCCCCAGGAACACATTGAGAAATACAGAGATAAAAAACAAACAGAGGGACTGAAGACAACAGTAGGAAAAAATGCTGAAGTGACACACATTAAGCCATAATGATTAACTACTGCAATCCTAGCCTGTGTCTTGTTCTTTTTCTTAGCATGACCAGAAAGTACTGAAAATCAGCTGGTGAAACAACACATATTTAACACAAGATGATTATTATCAGAACTAATTGTTTTAAATTTTAGGGCCCTAGCTGTAACCAGCCTAGCCAAAAAACTGGGATACCAACTTTTACTGACTTTGCTAGGTAACTCTGACAGACTCAGAAGTACTACTGGTATTTCTGAGCTACACCTCTTTTAAACCCAATGTCTCTAAAATTGAGTTTCTTTGATCTAGACCAAATAAGTATACAAATTACCCTACTGAAAGACTTTCCTTCAAGACCAAAGCTTGTCATTATACTTTAAGGTATATAAAATATTTAATTCCAAAATGAGAAGACCTAAGATACAAGTTTCCTCTGATGACTGTTTGGGGTTTTGTTTTTTGGTTTGGTTTTTTTGTGGGTTTTTTTTGTTTGTTTGTTTTTTAATTTTATTCAGGGATTAACACTTAAGATTAGATCAGCTGCTGGAACAATCATCTCTGCAAACATTCAGGGATCTATGATCCTTATGATATGCTTCCAAGAGCATGCTAACCTTATTCCTTTGAACAAAGGGTATGATAACCTCAAGAGCAAGTTTCCTGTTGTTACTCACTCTCTTAGTCAGAAATTTTCAGACTAAACTACACAGTTCAGTATGGAAAAAAAACTTTTTTGATTTTTTTTTATTAAAAAATTTTTTCACCTGCAACGCACTATTTTTAGTCTCTAGATTTTGAGTTTAGTTTTGTTTTCTATCACAACTACTGTTATAAGCTGTGCAGAAGTAACTTCTGGAAGACATCACTGTAACAGAAAAGTATTTTTTAGTAGTAAAACTGCCTTAAAATAAAAAAAAAAGTAAAAAAAAAGCAGAAGATATTATCTGAGAAGAAAGAGAGAAGAGGGGAGTGGAGAAACAGTGACTAAAACTTGGTGGGGTTGGGGGTGGGGGAGAGGAAAGCATAAAATGCTGCCTAAACTTAATAAAAAACCCTAATTCATTTTCATATCCTACATGGAAGGAGAACTTCAGTCTGAAGTAGTGTGGGTGGGACTTACCATCAAGTGATCCAGGACTGACAGCTATGAACTGCCCCAACTGTATCCATAACAGGATGAAGCAACTCATTAATAACGGATTGGTGGATATGGGAATGATAAACACTACTATACCTAGAATCGCAGGTACAGATTAGGGGGAGAAAGAAAGAGAAGGTTAGAAAATACTATGCAGGAAATACAGTCAGCCCAACGGTCCTGCACTCCTGACTTCCTTATTATTCTCAAAGAGGTTAACCATAAATAGCCACTGATCTTTTCAACCAAATTTTGTTAACAAAACCAGCTCTTATTCAAGCACAGAATGTGCACCATCAGGCATGATCCAAAGTTTCATGTGGAAGTATAAAGTATTGAGGCAAAATATCTCACTGTTACAGTGTAAGCAGCTCAACTGGAAAATGCACAAAAGATTGAACTTCAGCACTATTTAGTTTTAGACTCCCCTATCATTTATAGATTAAAAGAAACAGGGATAGAGAAGCAATAACAGTATCTTCACCTGTTTTCATAACAGAACCGGACCTTTGGGCACATTATTGCAAAGACGAAGGCTCAGCTCATCAGTATCACTGGATACTTTTTAAGAAATCCTCCTGTGATGGCATTTTTCAATTAAACATATTGTATCAGGAAAAATAAATAGGATGTCTCTTAAAATAAGGGATGATATATCTTACAATGAACCTTACCTTGAAAGGTTTGTCCCCACTGTGTGTCAGCATATGCCTCTGCAACCAACTTTGACTTGTTGAAGGTGTATTATATACTTTGCAACCTTTCCACAAGCAAACAAACACCTAATAGAGTAAAAATGTGGTAAGTTTACACAAGTCAAAGAAAACAAGTAAAAAAAAAAAAAACCATCAGATTAGCAAAGAAGCCTGTTTTCACAATACAAAGTATTCAAAGAATTTTGAACAATAACCATTTATTTTGCAACATAATTCTCATATCTCACCAAGGAAAAAATAATTACAACCACAAGTATTCAAAAAAGCAGGTCATTGGAACAAAATATCAAAAAACAGATCCTCCTGCAGATAAACACAATCAAGAGCCACAGCATCCACTGTAAAGAGTTTGTGTTTGCACTCAATATATGTATCTACCAGATATTAAGACAGAACATTTTTAAATTACAAATTTACATTTTCTGGGTAGCAGATATAGAAGTAAAATCATTTACTCTCATAAACAAGTAATAATTTTATTCTTTGAGCATGAAAAAGTAAAAACTCTTAATTACAATATAGTTGTTTAGATACCAGAGTTTTATATTATGGAGTACTGGATACCTCTAGTTAGGGCCTTATACTCAATTCCTAATGAAGAAAGTTACAATTTTTCATAGGATTCGAAGTCTATGCATGTTTTGTGATTCCAGTGTACAGATCAGTCACATGCACAATAGTGCATTAAGGGGAGTAGAACTTACTCATGCTGCTTTTCTCTCTCTCCTCTCATTGTGTGTCTCTACAACTGAGAAAATAAAAAAAGCTCAATGAACTTGCCTTTCGTTAGAATTTCCTCAACAGGTCTGTGTGTGAAGGGAGGTATAGCCCTGATTTGTAGCAGCAAAATACAGTCCCCAGGAATAGCACTGTCCATAATACAGGTTTTCAGAACTGCAGGAAACTAACTGGATTTGAGTTTCTTGTTCTCTTTTGGAGATTAAAAAACTCAATCTTCAAAAGACTGTATTTTCAAAACAAAAAAGCAGCCACAGGAGTGCTATGTACTTGCTTTATAATATATAGATAACCCAGCTTAGTAATACAAAGCTGGAAAACCCTGCATGTCTGTATGACTGATCCAGATTTACTGACACTTAAGGCCTAACCCCCTAAACTTTTAATATCTGCTGCTCCTCAGTTTTCAGATCCCCCTGAAGCCACAGAATTGGAATTTCCGAGATTTCTGTCTCTGCAACAGCTCCATAACTGTCCCAATATTTTCATCAGCAACTGCAGACTGCAAGGCACTCAGCAAAGGAGTACTACTGTGAAGTCACGGACTGTGGAAATGAAATCCCTCCAAAAAACAAGCACTTGGTTTTACAACAACCCACCAGAAGTTCAGGCAAGGCTTCTTGGGAACTCTTGTCAAAAGGCTGAATCCAAAATATTTCTGAAAAAAAATTCTGGGAGGTAAAACTATTTTGTCAAAATTTTCCTGGGCTCTTTATGGATCTATCTGGTTTGGTTTGGAGCCATTTTCTCAGTATCAGCTTGAAAACACACATTTTACCATACAAGGATGCTTATTGCATTGCTTTTATATTCTCAATAAGCAGTTACTACTCCCACTTTTCTTCAAATTTATAGCCATTGTAGTTAAGTAATATCTGAAATCCAGTCAAAACCACAAGAATATAATTTCTAACACCACTCAAACACCTCACCAGTAGGTGGCAGACAAATCCTTGAAACAAAACAGACAGAATCAGTCCCCTTCCACAGCATCAAGTTGAAGAACTTTTTAAAAAATAAAGCAACTCCAGCAGGGGGATAAAAAGTGTGAACTGAATGCAACAGTTATCAGACACCTGGTGCTTCCAACAAGCTCCTCTCAGAAAGACAAATACAGTCTAACATATTCTAAATAAAAATATCCACAAATCATGTCTTACAGAATGTAAGTGAACAGAAACACAATACAAAAAAAACCAAACTGAAAAATCTTCCGGTCCCTTTTTAAGAAATGAAAAGGGGCCATGGATGGGATAACAAAGATCCCCAGAGATGCAGTTACATGAAAGCCCACAAGATACCGATACACCTCATCCATTTCATTGTTTCATCCAGAATTCATATAACACTTTTATAAACCTATGAAGTGAACTACAGAAATCATCTCATGGGTGGCTAAAAAGCCAGCTCACTGGATGGATGATTCTGCTTAGAGCTTCGAATGAAAAAAGTCACCAAATATGAAGCTGAAAGTTCAATCATACCAAAAAAACATTAACTAAATACAACCAGAGTCACGGCTGCCTCAGTGACACAATTACATAACAAATTATTTAAGGTAATACAAATTAACATTTTATTCAAGTCTCTTATTCATTCAAGATAAAGTGTAATGGCCTAACATTTTATTTCTGGAGAACTGACAGGACAAAGTCAAAAGATAATGACTATTCTAGGTTAAGATTTGGTATTAGCTCTCCAAGAAATTAAAGAGCTGCAACATACAGTGCTGAAGGCAGGCAGATTGCTTGTGTTTGATGTAAAGGTAGTTTACATGACATATTCCAGGCATAATTTGGGAGGTTGGGGAGGGGCGGGTAGTCAAGTACAGAGTTGAAATTACACTACTGGAAGATGTTTTGAAACATTAAAATTGTAAGAACAACGGAAATTGCATCATTTGAAAAGGGATTAAACCGAAATATACATTATTATGTATGTACCTCAATTTAAAAAAAAAAAACAACTAAATGCAGTTATATTGAAGGTATACTTGCCATCAGTACTACAGACAGAGCTGTTTTGGTAAGACTTTGTACTCTCAAGTCAATGAGTCTTACATCTTCCCTATCATACATTCTGTATATATTTTACCTCTAGTGATACTCCATTCATAAAAATAATCAAGACATGACTTCACCTGAGTTCACATGCAGTAACGTGTACACTAATAGTTTTAAGAAAATGAATTCCAAGTATAAGCACTTAAAAATATACCAACAGCTTCAGGATGTTGGGAAGTTAGCACATCTATCAAAAATCTGGTAACTCCAAATCATTTATTAAAAAGAACTTACTACATTCTTAAAGTTAGGCATTCAATTAAAAACACAGAATACCAAATCAGGTGAACTATGCAAAAGACACAGCTGAATGCCTAATACCAAACTGCTGAAGGCCCAACCTTACTTGCCACTAGCTACAGAAATGATACTTTAAAACATAAAATTTGCTACTGTCATTAAAGAGTAAAATATTGGCAACTAAGAAAGAGGAAGAAAACAAAAAGCAACACTAACCCCTCCTCGTTGACCATCCACATGTATGGAGCGAATGTGATCTGCCAAATCCGGGCTGGAGCTGAAGCAAGCATGGCAATGGTCCCAACAACAGTTATAAGCAATGCTTTTTGCAGAGGAGGCAGGAACTCCCTGTCCATTCATCATAACCGGAGTTGAACGCCCACTGGAAATTGTGCTGTCTACATCCATAATAGTGCTGCTTATGCTGCAAGACAAAAAAAGGGAAAGTTCGTATTTGTTGCACGTTAACAGAACAACTAAAAATCATAGCTCTTTGGTGTTTTGTTTCAGATATATTTAGACAGATTGAAAGAAAAATCTTACACAAACTTACTATTTATTGTGGTTCATCACCTTAACTATAACAAATGTACAGTCAGGAAATAGCTACTATCACTCAACGGTGTAACGTCTTCTGGACACTGGCAACAAAAGGGAGGGATGGAAAATTCTCCCATTCACTGACTTGTCAGAAAATTAACTCTCATGTGATTAACACAGTCATTTTTAAGCTACATTAAACAGGCATTCATTATTTTTATTTCCCAGGAGAGAAGAAAAGGAAAAAAAAAAAAGGGAGGGGAAGCGGGGGGAAGGCATGCTGGGTCAGACTGGAGATGTATCTATCCCAGCACCCACCACTAACACTAGATCCTTAAAAAGAACACAGCAGTGAAGTTCTACAGAAGGTTTAAGGTACTCCCACACTTGCCCCACCACGGTGTCCATCACATGCATGGTCTAAACTAATGCTTTTTGGTTTGGTTTTTTTTGTTTTGTTTTGGTTTTTTTTTTTAAAAACTTTCCAGAGAAGCCAGCAGCAGCAGTGGGAATATGTGGCCAGCAGGGACCATTTTCATCAGCTGTTCTGCTCTCTATCTTGGCAGATACAGAGCCAAGTATCAAACTGGACCAGAAAAAAACTGCAGAGTGCGCTCTTTCCATGTATAAGCAAGAAGTATGGAGATAGATGGATGTTCTTCCTGGATAAACATTAAATAGCTACTGCTGTACCTTTTTTTACCTTGTGAACCTGTTCACTGCCTTTTAGGACCTTTACGTTTTTGTGTTCCACAAATCCACAGCACTACAGAACAGCTCATCTTTAAAAGGACCTCAGAAGATCAGGTGGTCAAATCTCCTGCTCAAACAGGAGCGAGTGAGATCAGATTGCTTATGGTCTTGTCCAGTTGAGTTGTTAACGGGTTTTTTCAAAGGCTGGAGTTTCTGCTACCTTTCTGAACAATTTTCTCAATGTCTGATTAATCTCTTTGTGGGGGAGGGGGGAAATTTCCCAACATCTCATCAGAATTTCCAGTGTTGCAACTTCTGCCTGTTGCCTCTCATCCTTGGCAGCTGTCGGGTTGAAATGACTATGGCTCTTCCTTTGCTAAACCTCCCTATCAGGTCACTGAAAACAGCAATAACCCTGCCCTCCTTATCCTAACACTGAAGAAACCCAATCTCCCAGCATCTCCATGTATAGCATTTGCTTCAGCCTTCTAACCATCTTGGAGACCCTCCACCAGACCCTCTCCAGTACATGAGTATCTGGGATGAGTCCCAAACTGGACACAGTAATCCAGACATACTCTTAATGGTGCCAAGTACAAGTGAAGAATCACCTCTATTGACCATATAGATACACTTTTACTAATACAGTCCAGTATGCAGCAGTAATTTTTACATAGGTGTCTTTACATATTCTTCTAAGCAAAATGCAAGGGAAAAAAAAAAAAATCTAATTACATTACTTTAAAGAAAGAAAATAATCATTTTCTATTCAGCTCTACATAATATTTATAATTTTCTAACTTTTATCATATCCCTCTTCTCCCCCACCTCTTACACATAATTACTATTCTAAAGAATTCTGCTTTTAAAGGTATAGGTTCCATTCTGTATTTTTGACCATCACTGGTTACATACCTATTATTGTTCTGTTACACATTTTGAGGAGGATGAAACAAAAACTACACCATTATTCAAAATTTGAAGATATCATTGCTCTTTTGCTCTAAAAGCCTTTACTAGCAATTTCTCACATTATCTGTATCTTTTTTATTCACTACTGTGCTAGCAGTTTTGTCCTGTGATAGATTCTGAAACCATCATAGATATTTGCCTTGTTTAGATTTCTAGCCCTCACGCACCATATGGATTCCATTGCATTTATCAATATAAAGTGTCTTGCCTTAGTCAAAATAACAGATTCCCTTTAGCAATGCTTTCCAGTTAAGCTTTAGTTTTAACTACCCCAAGTAATTTGGTTTCATGAGCAAATTCTGATCTGAGAGATACTAGCAAGGCAGCATTTATGGAAACGCTGACTACCATATCCCAAGTGCAGATCCCTTAAAAATCTTCTTCCAAGCTGTTAGTCTCCTCCTATTATTAAAATTGACCAATTATTCTTAGGCCTTTGTTTTCAAAGTTAAAAAGAAAGTTTTAGAGACCGCCTCAACAGGTTTTTTTGCTTTAATAAAAGTATATCAAATACATACTTCCTAAATGCTATACAAATGCCACATGCTTTTTTTTCCCCTCCCAATTTCAAAAAGATCTAACAATTTACCAGGCACGCCTTCTACCCATGAAAGTCATACAGGCTCTTTGCTGCTACACAGCATTTTTCCATGTGCCCACTATTTTTATTTTCTTCCATTTTCTATACCCTGAATACACACAGCTTTCCATGATCCCTCCCTACCTCCCCCTTCCCACCCCCACAAAAGTAGTCTCAGTTCCTTTCACGACATACAAGCTCACAATCCGTGACTAGCAAATAAAGAAAAGGTGGCCAACAGAAGCATATAGATATGGTTTTAAATCTGTTCCATATTGCTGCCCTTCCCAAAAAACTTATTTTAAATTCACCAGAAACTTCCAAGAAAATGCAACTAGCACTGAGCTGAAGCTACCAGTCCCAACAGCGTTAACAGCCACTAACTACAACTACTGGTAATAGTAGTTTAGGATCCCTCTAGGAAATTGTCAGAAGCTTTAAGTGCAAAATATGTTGCAAGCAATCCCAATTTTTCCACCATGCCAGGCCCACAATAGATGCAACTAGGGGACTGACACCCCCCCTTTCCTCAGCTGATGCCTAAGCCAAAAATTATCCCCAAAAGTAAAACCTGTAAAACTGTGCTATTGGAAGCAAAGTTTACCAACAGGATGATAGGAAACTTGAATAAATAATTAAATGTGACCCCACACACACCTGAGTTTGAGTTATCCAAATAGAGTTTTCTCAAAATCAGTACTTAGAAGGAGGTCTGAATGCATACAAGATGGCACATAGCCTGACCACTTCTGTCACATACAGTAATGTTACACAGATCAGTGGTTTCAACAGGAAGTTGCTTAACCAAGGATGGCAAAGCACTGCAGATACAGCACTCATGAAATAGCTGCCTCAGACCATTTCATCTGGATAAGTAACCCTAACTTTGTCACAGCTGAAAGGTACCAAAGTACAGTACTTACTTTAAGTAGGAGCTCAAATTTCCAACCTATTTACAGTCAGTCTGAGTTTCTACATCCACTGACATTCTCAAAAACCCTACAAATAATCATAAATAAACTTCTGACTAAGAAGAGGTATGGTGCTGGTGACCACAAAGATAGACTATGAAGGGGTATTTACCATAGTTCTCTCAAGGGTTCCATGGTTTTACAGCCTGGTCTTACCCGGGAAAGCAATGAGAAAACGTAACCCAGAAAGAGTTCTGTGAAAGAAACGGGGGG